TCTGTGAGGAATGTGCTGAATTTTTTTGCTTTTTTGTGTGTCCCAATTCTTTATTGAATGCCACTCATTGCTTACGCATTTTTATTTTATTTTACTTTTGAGACAGAGTCTCATTCTCTCGCCCAGGCTGGAGTGCAGTGGTGCAGTCTCAGTTCAGTGTAACCTCTGCCTCCTGAGTTCAAGTGATTCTCCTGAGTAGCTGGGACTATAGGCCTGCACCACTATACCCGGCCAATTTTTGTACTTTTAGTAGAGACAGGGTTTCACCGTGTTGGCCAGGCTGGTCTTGAACTCTTGGCCTCAAGCAATCTGCCTGCCTCAGCCTCCTAAAGTGCTGGGATTATAGGCATAAACTACCGTGCCCGGCCGTCGTTGATTATGTAACCGAAGAGAATGAGGTAATGAATGAGGTAAATCATATTAATGCTTGGAAATGGGCAAATATCTTCTGTTAGACCGTCTGCATGGGGTTTGGTCAATCTGGTCAGGAATCGAGCTGGGCTTGGGTTATTACATATATATATATTTTGAGACAGTTTCACTCTTGTTGCCCATGCTGGAGTGCAATGGCATGATCTTGGCTCACTGCAACCTCCACCTCCTGGGTTCAAGCGATTCTCCGGACTCAGCCTCCTGAGTAGCTGGGATTACAGGCACCCATCACCACACCTGGCTAATTTTTTGTATTTTTAGTAGAGAGGGGGTTTTACCATGTTGGTCAAGCCGGTCTCAAACTCCCGATCTCAGGTGATCTGTCTGCCTTGGCCTCCCAAGGTGCTGGGATTATAGGCGTAAGCCACCGTGACTGGCCTGGGGTTGGGTTTTATTGCTATGGTTGCTTTCAGTGTGCCACAGATTTCATGTACTTTAGCATTATTCTGTGTTGTAGATTGGGGCTGAAGAACTTGTGTTCATGCTTCATCCTCAGCTTACAGCTGTCCTGCCTACCTGCACAGTACTGGCTAACTTTCTAGGCCCGTGCCCATACCCTAGAAACGGATGCTTGTTACTAGCTGCTTGGTACGCTGGTAGTAGGGGAGAAGTAAAGGGGTGCTTTGTTGGTTCTAATTCAATTCAGCCTGTCTTCAGTAGGCCCTATGTGTGGGCCTTAGGAATAAATCTTTTCTCAGCATTCTTGCCACTGAAACTGGGCAAGATCATTAAAAGAGTGAGTGTAAAGAGGAAAGAAGTGTGAGAAATGAGATTTGGTATACTGCAAGGTTGGGAAGATGGAAAAGAACTAGCAAAGAATCCGGAAGAAACGTTTCTAGTAGGGTAGACAGAAAACTGTTACTGAACTAAACTGGGGTCTGCTCACCCAGTGCTGCAGAGTCCTTGACATCAGGCTAGCAGCAACAGAAAGTGAGGTATTTTACTGCAGGGCATCAAGCAAGGAGAACCGCCCGGATCACGCTTAAGACCCAAACTCCTAGATGGCTTACAGGTACACGTTTTTAAAGGCAGGGAGAGAAGTTACAGGCAAAGTCATAAGTCAATACAGAGGCTACACATGAGTTTGACCTAAAAAGGTGGGACATCTCAGAGCTGGGATTGGGGATGGGCTCAAGGTCACTGGTGGATTCAGAGATTTTTTGATTTATGATTGGTTAAGGTGGTGAAGCTGTCTAACCTTGGCATCCATAGAAAAGAATGATAGCTCTGGCCGGTTGGCATGACTTCCTCCAGGCCTCTCAGGAAGCAACTTAGAACAACGAACAGTGGTCAGAGTTCGGTTCTCAGTTTCCCCTTATCTGAGGTTTAAATCTGTCTGGCGAGAGTCCAGGTTTCTGAAAACCCAGGAACATATATGATGGTATCTTTAGTTTCTATAGGGAACAAAACATCTCGCTCTGACTTCCTTGGCTATTGTTTTCAGCTACTGTTACCTTCTTATCAAGTTGGTCACTAACTTCTCCCAGCTAGCTTGGTGCCTAGAATTCTGTTGAAGGAACTCACGATTTTCCTTTATTTCCATGTGTGGAGGGGCCCACAAGCCTCCAAAGAGGGGGTCCCTGCTCTGCCTCAAAACCAGGAGTGTTGTGTTCTGGAAACCAAGTAAAGCCTTTTAAGAAGGGAGAGAGAAAATGTCAGATCTACTGAAAAAATCACATAGTTAAGGACTGAGAACTGACCCCATAGTTAACTGTGGTGATCACTGGTGACCTTGACCAAGGGGTGGGGGTAACACTCTAACTGGAATGGGTTCAGGTGAGAATGGAAGAACTGGAAGGTTGAGTTAGGGTTTGGTTTTTGAAAGACGTTTACTTAAATAGAGACAAGGTCTTGTTACATCGTCCAGTCTTGTCTCAAACCCCTGGGCTCCAGTGATCCTCTTGCTTCGGCCTCCCAAAGTGCTGGCATTACAGGTGTGAGCGATCGTGCCCAGCCAAAGTTGGAGGAGTTTTGCTGTGAAGGGAGTGGAGAAATGGGGTGGCAGCTGAAGAGGAGAGTGAGGCTAATATCTTTTTTAAGATGAGATAAATCACATGCTGATGGAAAAAGGAAGGCGAGAGCTGCCGATGCTATCTGAGAATAGGTAAGAGGACGTGCTTGACTGTTAAGAGGTGGGGCCGGCTTCAGACAGGAAGAGTGTGAACAATTCATCTAAGTAACAGGAGGGAAGGAAGAGTTATGAAGGTACAGATGAAGGTGGATGAGTGGCCATTGGTGGAGGCAGACCACAGTGTATACTGCAAAGGACATCTTTAGAAGCAATGACCCAGGATAAAAACTGGAAGTCTAACAACATTTATATAACGGTTCTGCGAATATGTATATAAGAAGCTCAAAGCAACATCTCTCATAGATTACGGTGAACTAACCTGCTAAGAGAGTTTAGATTACTTCACTTAAAGAAATGGAAGGGAGCATGCCCCACCAACTCTCTTAACTCCACTCCTATCTTTCGGCTGTAGGCCATGCTACTTAGTGTCTACATGAAACCAAACAAAACACACACTCAAGCTTTGTCTGCTTTATTTCACTACATTAAGTTAAGCAATAAGGCAAAACAGTAACCTGTGATTCATAAAGATCAAGGAGTGCCTCTCCTTCCCAAAAGGGACCAAAAGGGATGTTTCTTCACAAATATGCATGACACTTAGCTCATTATGCTGATAAGCACTTCCAACAAAAGAAGACGTTAGTGGGCGAATCAAATAACAAATCCAGATTAACTTAGCCTAAGTTTCCAAAACTCTAGTTTCATATGCTAAGGAGAACTAACTTTCCCATGGTGGTGCATACTGACTAGCATTAAAATTTTTGCACCTCATCTAATATAAAAAAGGCAACAAATACAATTCCTAATTCACCAGCTGCAGGTGTTGAATCACGTTTACAAACACGCGGAATACTAGCTTGCACTAAAACCTATCTCGAGGAAACATTACACCAATGGCTCTGTTATTCTTCAAGTTAGTTTGGCTTCTGAAGAAAAAAAGTTTACAATCAAAGTATTTTGTGTTTCTGTGTCATACAGGAATATAAGACACATACTTCAACATTATTACTTTTGGGAACAAATACCAGCTACCTGCCATAAACATATGACATGTGTGTAGTCTATCCAAACGTGTAAACATATGAAGGTATTCTCTACTTTGATGCCCATTTCCTCCACTGGCAAATACGGAGCAGTGACTTCACAGTAAGCCCTAGCAGGTAGTGAAATAAAAATCCAAGACCCTGTGGGGTCAGAACAAAAGCTAAACTCTTTCTATAGTCTGCAAATCTGTAATTACTCATTCCTGTGCTCCAACTCCTAAGAGGCTAAACCTTATATCTACCATAATGTTAGAGATGAGTATTTTCTTTCTTACACTGCATCACATATATTACTCTGTGGGACTATTTCATAAAATTGGCTAGACCTTAAGAGCATGATTTAGTATCTTTTACAAGCTTCCTAAATATTTAAAACATTTTCAAGGGAAGCTTACAAGGACTATCTCCCATCTATATTCTACATTATATTTTATCTTTAATTATGTTTTTTAACTCAAGACTTAAAACAAGACCAAGGTAAACCGAAAATTTATCTTTTCCTCAAGTCTCTTGGCCACTTACTAACAATACGTTTACATAAAACACGGTGCAGCTGGTGGTCTACTTTGTCAAGTTTCATTTTAGAAAACATCATAGAAATAAAGGTTAGCAACCCAACTCCAGGATACCAAGTGAAAACAGCATGTCTGCTGTTAGGCCACAGTTGTGGGCTACTTGCTTAACTATTTTATGGTTTACAATCAAAATGGTCTTATTTGACTCACCATATGACAAAAGTCTTAAACTTAGTAAGGGGCAAAATTCTTTTTTTTTTTTTTGAGACGGAGTTTCGCTCTTGTTACCCAGGCTGGAGTGCAATGGCGCGATCTCGGCTCACCGCAACCTCCGCCTCCTGGGTTCAGGCAATTCTCCTGCCCCAGCCTCCTGAGTAGCTGGGATTACAGGCACGCGCCACCATGCCCAGCTAATTTTTTGTATTTTTAGTAGAGACGGGGTTTCACCATATTGACCAGCATGGTCTCGATCTCTTGACCTCGTGATCCACCCGCCTCGGCCTCCCAAAGTGCTGGGATTACAGGCTTGAGCCACCGCGCCCGGCCTGGGGCAAAATTCTTAATATTCAGTTTTGGATTCAAGAGATTATAACAGTTAACTCCCCCTTCAAATCAATGGAAAGAACGCTAGTTGTAAATATGCTAAAAATTTAACCTTTAAAATGTTTTCTGCATTCCAGAAGTGAACCTGTCCACTCAGGTTTTATTTGGGTTCTTTTCCAGGTCCCAAATAGAACTTACTGAGTTACAAAGGCAGAACAGAGAAGGTGTAGGCAGTAAGACAAATAAAGATCGCCCCCCTGTGGCAGCATTAATCCCTGGGTGTTGTGGCAATATTTAAAACGAATGGAATTTCCTACCCCCTTGACATGACATGTTATTGCTTGCTTCTCAAATTCTTCTTGAAAGGTCCCATATTTTATCGGGAAAAAAGTTAAGACAACTAAGTTAGTAAGTGTCCTGTATTTAGTCAGAAAGGGAGGGCAAATGAGAGTGCCTTAACAACTTCATAGGCTGTTCCAATCATCATAATACTAAAGATGATGTGACAATTCAATTTTTCTGTTACATAGAAATCTACGGCAAAACGGCAGCCATTACGGCAAGTGAAGGGATATGTTTTAGACTGTTAGATTATATTTAATGGAATGCAGAAAGCAGTTGGTACATTGCCACCAATGCTGGATCATGAATAGCAGGTCCGCCTTTGGGTTATCATTTAAGTTTCTTCTGTGACATTGTGATCTTTTAGTGAGATCAGATCAAGAGTCAGTACAGTACAGAGTTTCTCAGGTGGTAAATACAATGCCACTCCAGGGAATACCCATCCCCTTTCCTGGTATGGAATTATGCTGTTGTTATTCAACGTGCAGGGCTCAGTGAGGGAGACACGGACTCACTGGTGTCAACAGCGGTAAGAGCAAGAAGAACAGTAGTTACCCTGTGTTCCCAATGCCTCACTATGCTCCCACTTTCCTAGCAATAGAATTCTGTAGTGCATGGGTACATCATTATAAACAAGGCCTAATGAAGCAGCAGCTTCCACATTTTAAAGCAGGTTTATGGTGACACTGTCCTTTGGGATCTGCCCTCCAATGGAACCTTTTAAGGAAGCAGCGGGCCCAAGCTAAGTTCCACATGCTGGGTGAGCCAGATGACTTCTGTGCCCTGGTCACTTTCTTCAATGGGGCGAATGGGGGCTGCCAGGTTTTTAAAATCATGCTTCATCTTGAAGCACACGGTCACTTCACCCTCCTCACGCTGTGGGGTAACTTTGATGAAAATACCCACTTTGTTGGCCTTTCTGAAGGCTATAATGCTATGGAAAGAAAAAAAAGCAAGTATTAGGTAGATAAAAAATCAGCCAAACCACTAAGACTTACAGTAAAAGTAGTCTTTCACCTTATTCTTTCCTCCAGCACACACAGAAAACCCATGAACACTTTGTTCTTAACCTACCAAGTATTTTTGTTTTGTATTTTTGAGACAGAGTCTCGCTCTGTCACCCAGGCGGGGGTACAATGGCTCGATCTCAGCTCACTGCAACCTCTGTTTCGCGGGCTCAAGTAATTCTCCCATATCAGCCTTCTGAGTAACTGGAACTACAGGCATGCACCACCACTCCTGGCTAGCTTTATATATTAATATATATATTTTTTGGTAGAGATAGGGTTTCACCATGTTGCCCAGGCTGGTCTCGAACACCAGGGCTCAAGTGATCTGCTCACCTTGGCCTCCGAAAGTGCTGGGATTACTGGTATAACCCAGTGCGCCGGCCATATATTTTTCTGTGAGCTTACACTTTTCTGCTTTTTTAACCAATACAGATACTACACACTATTCTATAACTTGATTTTTTTCACTATGTTTATCACAAACGCCTTTCTATGTTGGTATATATAGATCATCTACATTCTATGTAATGGTTGCATAGTATTCAATTATGTATTTACCATAATTGGCATATACTGAGGTTGCTGCCAATTTTTCTCTATTATAAACAATGGTGCTGCAAACATCCCTTTATAATTACCTCTGTGCAAATGTGGTAATATTTCTGCAGAACATAGACTCATACTGTGGAAAGTTATTTATTTTTATTTTTTAGAGACAAGGTTTTGCTCTGTCACCCAGGCTGGAGAGCAGTGGCACGATCATTGCTCACGGTAGCCTTGACCTCCTAAGCTGAAACAATTCTCCTGCCTCAGCATCCCAAAGTGCTGGGATACAGGCATGAGCCACCATGCCTGGCCATACTGTGGGAAGTTTTAATAACTCAATGCTTTAAGGGAAATTTTGGAATACTATAAATCAGAGTGTTTTTGTAAATAACCTATGTAATTCGGAATTGCAGCATAAAAATGTCTCTTCATTGGGGTTTCCATTTCAATTTCCCCTCATTTGTGCATAAAGTTTGTGCTTTAATAACTTGGTTTCTGAAAGTAAAAGGGCAATGAAATAAACAGCATCTGTCTACCATCCAAATGATCCAAATGATATTCAGTTACTCTAAGAAAGGTTACTGGAATTATACATTCATATATTTATACAGTGTTAGTTTCTAGAAATCTGAAAGTTCCATTAAATCTAATCTGAAATATAATGAATTCAGTTTTTAATTACTCTAGCATGTAATCAGACTGAAATTTGGTATCTCAGACAATCTTTCCAGAAGTATACCTTGGCTTAACACATTTCTGTACCTAATTAATTTAAGGACTCGCATAAAGCAAGGATTTCAGAGAATGCATTTTGTACTGTACAATTCAGTACATTTTGTATTACGGTAACTAACCAAACCTTTGATTTGTATGAGTCATGTAAAAAAAAAAAAAACTCATATAGTTTAAAATCGTAAAAAGGAAAATGTCAGTCTTTCTTTTTGTCCTTAATTTCCCAGGCAACCATTCATACCCGGGAAGCTTTTCCCAAATAAATTTGGATTTCTGGTCCCTAGCTAGACCTGCTAAAAAAAAAATCCTCTGGGGTTGGGGTCTGGAATGTTATAGAATAAACAAAACAAAACACAACACTTGACCTGGTGCTTTCTGAAGTTAACCCACATTTGAACCTCCAGGGTTCAAGCGATTTTCCTGTCTCAGCTGGGATTACAGGTGTGTGCCTCCATGCCTGGCTAATTTTTGTATTTTTAGCAGAGACAGGATTTTGCCATGTTGGCCAGGCTGGTCTCGAATGCCTGACCTCAAGTCATCTGCCCGCCTCAGCTCCCCAAGTGCTGGGATTACAGGAGTGAGCCACTGTGCCTGGCTTTATTTTTCTAACCTACGTTATATTATTTCTTCTCTCCAATATCTTGTTGAGAAAGCTTTTGATCACTCTGTTAAAAACCATAAATGGGCCAGGCACAGTGGGTCATGCCTGTAATCCCAGCACTCTGGAAGGCCAAGGCAGGTAGATCACTTTAGGTCAGGAGTTTGATACCAGCCTTGGCAACATGGTGAAACCCCATCTCTACTAAAAATACAAAAATTAGCCAGGTGTGGTGGCGCTCACCTGTAATCCAAGCTACTTGGGAGGCTGAGGTAGGAGAATCACTTGAGCTCGGGAGGTGGAGGTTGCAGCGAGCAGGAGATCACGCCACTGCACTACTCCAGCCTGGGCGACAGAGTGAGATTCCGTCTCAAAAAACAAAACAAAAACCGTAAATGTTCTCTGTGCCAGTTTATTAAGCTACTGTTTTTCAGCTCCAGTACACCTCTCTCTGTTTTGCATTGTGATACAGGATTCTGCTCAGACCGTTTCTGTTTGGTCAGCTGGCTCCTTGTGAGGTTTCGTCAGTAGCAGGCTCTAAAGGGAGACTAGAAGTCTGGAGGAGGAAGGGTCTTGCTCTTCCTTTAGAGATTCCCGTTTGCTTGTGGTCCCTGTTCCCTATGGGCATCACTCCAAAAACGTCTTTTATTTTTTTTTTTGAGACAGAGTCTAGTTGTGTTGCTTAGGCTGGAGTGCAGTGGCACAATCACGGCTCAAAGCAACCTCTGCCTCCAGGGCTCAAGTGATCTTCCCATCGCAGTCCCTTGAGTAGCTCGGAGGGACTACAAGCACGCGCTGCTACACCTGCCTAATTTTTAAAATTTTTTTGTAGAGACGGGGTCTCACTATATGCCCAGGCTGGTCTCAAACTCCTGGGCTGAAGTGATCTTCCTGCCTTGGACTCCTGAAATGTTGAGAATACAAGGGTGGGCCACTATGCCCAGCCCAGCAATGCTTCTTGACCCAGGAAGTGGCAGTATGCAGTTGACGTTTTCCAATTCTTGTATAACCAGTTTCATCATGCCACCCCTCCTTTGCCATCACGAGATGCCAGGACCAGGCAAGCAGTGTTCCCCTTCAGCTCACCGGAGGCCTGAGTTTCAGCTACGTGGAGCTCCTTCTTTAATTTCTAAATTTTAATCATTCTATTTCCCTTTGTTACCACCACCCTAAGGGTGGTAGCTGCCTCATAAAATAGCTGTCTTTGAAATTTATTCCCATGAAGTAGCATAAAATTGCTACTTTAGTGTTCTTTTTCACTTTTTAAGTTATGCAAGTGAACAATTCTTTATATTAAATTGTCTGTTCAAATTATTGAAATCATTCAGCCTATAGACTGAATTCTCTGATGAACATAGTCCCCAGTTAGTGAAAGGTTTGGTTCTTACTTTTCAGCTATTGGGTATGAGGGAGTAAAATCTATTAATTACTCTAAGGGGGTGGAGGTGGGAACAAACCCAATGATAAATCTATAGGGATAGAATATTGTATCCTCTCCACAACCATGAAACTCATATACTTAATTTTTTTTTTATTAACATGGGAAAATATATTCAAGTGAAAAACAAAGGCAAAAAAACTGTATTTACAGAATGATCCCAATGAGGGGAGAAATATCTGGAAGGACAAATACCAAAAATGTTAATGGTGTTTATCTCTGGTAGTGGGATAATTTTATTTTCTTCTTCATTGTTTTACATATATTTCCCCAATTTTCTACAATAATTATTTTTAGAAACAGGAAGAAAAATGTTATTTTTAAAAATCCAGACAAAAAAATTGGATATATAAATAGGCATTCTGTATCAGCCAATTGTGGTATGGGGATCACGAAAAGATCACTTACTCGGGATCGTCCTGAAAGTCTTGGGGTTCTGCCAACTCATCGTACTCTGCTGCTGCATCCTTCCCAGCTAAAACGAGCTCCTTGGGAGGCACCACCACCTGGAGAGCAACACAGAGGCCTGTCTGAGAAAGGACCAGTGTGACAGAATACAGCAAAGTATGACACTGATTTAGACATGTGGAAGCACACAGCAAGTTTCAGGAAACATATGCTACTTACATGGAGTTTATAAGAACAAAGGTTTTAAGAGAAAGGTAAAGTTAAGTGAGTACTTACTTCATGGGGTCTGCATTGAGGAACTGGGGAGAACATGAGGGGTTCAATTGTGTCTTTCATGTTTTATTTCTTAAGGGGATGGGGAGAAATGGGTGTTTGCCATATTATTTTTTATATTTTTCGATACACCTGAAATAGTCCATCATTAAGAACAACACAAAAGAAAAATACTGGTTCCATCACATTGTTTTCTGACATGGTATCAGCAGATTCCTAGTACCTGATACATAAACTCACATGAGATAGTAGGTGTTTACGGTCATGGAAAAAAATTAGCATTCTTCAAACTTATGTAATAATTAGGCCGCAGCTTTGCTCCATCAGAGGTTAACAGTTAACAACGTCAATCAAATTTCTAATTATGGATACAAATGAGGGAGGGGACGTATAAAGAGAGATAAAGACAAGCTGTGCTTATGTATCAGGTACTTATTTCTGTTTCTGTCTTACCTGAAGCTGCTGAGCTGCTTATTGGTGTTAACAGAGAAAAAAGCAGCAAGGACCAGATAAGTGTTATCTGTCTTTGGAGGTAGTAAGTGAAATCATGAAAAAAGGAAAAAGAGAACAGAAATTCTCTAATAATATTATTTCAATAACAGCTAAAGATATAGGTATCCTTTTTAATCATTATTATAAATATGATGCTGAATTATGAATCAGTAATACATGATCTATAGAGAAAACCTCTTGTTCTAAAATTTCAAGTACTAAATGAATTACAAAGTAGCAAAATATAAAGAGGCCATATTACATTCATTCAACTAATACTGGGGGTCAAAATCAACCACTTTAATATTTACTCAGTGCTGTGTTTTTTTGTTTTATTCTTTTTTTTGAGACAGAGTCTCACTCAGCCACCCAGGCTGGAGTGTAGTGGTGCGATCTCAGCTCACTGTAACCACCATCTTCTCGGATTCAAGCAATTCTCCCGTCTCAGCCTCCCAGGCAGATGGGATTACAGGCACCCTCCATTATGCCCGGCTAATTTTTGTATTTTAGTAGAGATGGGGTTTTACTACGTTGGCCAGGCTGGTCTCGAACTCCTGACCTCAGATCATCCGCCCGCCTCAGCCTCCCAAAGCGCTAGGATTACAGGTGTGAAATGAAACATTGCACTGGCCTAGTTAGTGCTGTATGTGTACTCTTTGTAAGGTAGAGGAATCTGGAGGAAGCATACCAGCTTCTAAATGATTTCAAGCATATAATTTCTAAAAGGAAATAGTATTTCACAAGTGTTGAAGAATGAATGCATGAGACTGAGAGGCTGAATGAAAGGGAATGTATATTAGGGGAGTCAGGATAGGAAGGAGGCATTCTAGGTAAAGCAAATAGCATGCACAATTCTCCAGCGTCAAAGTTTATAACCCACTGGATCTGTCTGAATCACAACCATTAATATACACAATTCAGAGTGCTAAATTTGAGGATCTGAAGGAATATCACACTGGAGGAACAGACAGAAGTATGTCATCAAGGAGCTCTTATGCTATGCCAAAAATTTAGGCTTCATCTCAGTCAAGGGCGATGCTAAATGACCAGCATGCACAGAGTTAGATTTGAGAAGGATCGCCCTGGTGGCAGTAGAGAAGAAATGTGTTGAAATGGAGGTGGTGGTGTAAAAATAGCAAGGTTAGTTAGGAAGTTACTGTCACAGTCCAGGTAAGAAACAATGAGACCTTCAAATAGGGCAGTGTGTTTCAGGATAAACTGAAAAAACTTAGGAGGTGGAATCAAAAGAACTTGCTGACTAGATGTGGAAAGGAGAGTGTGGAGTGGTTTTTTTTTTTTTTTTTTTTTTTTTTGAGACGGAGTTTCACTCATGTTACCCAGGCTGGAGTGCAATGGCGCGATCTCGGCTCACCGCAACCTCCGCCTCCTGGGTTCAGGCAATTCTTCTGCCTCAGCCTCCTGAGTAGCTGGGATTACAGGCACGCACCACCATGCCCAGCTAATGTTTTGTATTTTTAGTAGAGACGGGGTTTCACCATGTTGACCAGGATGGTCTCGATCTCTTGACCTCGTGATCCACCCGCCTCGGCCTCCCAAAGTGCTGGGATTACAGGCTTGAGCCACCGTGCCCGGCCGGAGTGGTTTTTTTTTGAGACAGAGTTTCACTCTTGTCACCCAGGCTGGAATGGTGCAATCTCAGCTCACCACAACCTCCGTCTCCTGGGTGCAAGCGATTCTCCCGCCTCAGTCTCCCAAGTAGCTGGGATTACAGGCATGCGCCACCATGCCCGGCTAATTTTGTATTTTTAGTAGAGACAGGGTTTCTCCATGTTGGTCAAGTTGGTCTCGAGCTCCCTACCTCAGGTGATCTGCCCACCTCTGCCTCCCAAAGTGCTAGGGTTACAGGAGTGAGCCAATGCACCCAGCCAAGTGTGGAGTGTTTTAAGCCACTCCAAGCAAAGTGAGGGTCAGTCAGGCTGAGGCAAAATGCTCCTACCTTAGCAGTGCTATTGATATCATCAGGGTCCCCCTCCTCACACTCCAACAGAGTCACATGGGTGAGGTTCTCAACTGGATTCGTAAGAGTCAGGAGGACCTGGCTTTCCTGGGAATAGGAAACACATCTCTCAGACATTCGCCACTTTCTTAGCTGCTATACCAAATATTTCACAAAATTACCATCCCCCCATTACTCCTGAGCAATGACACCCTACCTATACCGCTATGTCACTGTGTTCTCTACGTGCTTACTATCTATTCTATTATCTATACATTAGAGTAAATTCTTTCTGGAGTTGCTGTCTCACTGAGGAAATGGGACAGATTCCACTGAAAAGGCCAGTAACTATATCCGGAAATTGAGGAATGTTCATTATCTAAGTGATTGTTTAAAGTTAAAACTCTTGTCCCACCCAGGTTGACATTTAAGGACTGAAAAGGAGGCCCCCTCACAAATAAAATGTGGGAGCCACAGGCCAGTCAGATGCATTAACAGAAAAAATGGCACATCAAGATTATAAAAACTTAAAAATTTTTTTATTATTTCTTTATTTTTGAGACAGGGTCTTACTCTGTCACCCAGGCTGGAGTGCAGTGGCGTGATCATGGCTCACTGCAGCCTGGACCTCCTGAGCTCAGGTGATCCCATCTCAGCCTCCTGAGTAGCTGGGACCACAGGTGTGAGCGACCATGCCTGGCAAATTTTTTATATTTTTTGTAGAGATGGGGTTTCTCCATATTGCCCAGCCTGGTCTTGACCTCTTGGGCCTAAGCAATCTACTTTTCTTGGCATCCCAAAGTTCTCGGATTACAGGTGTGAGCCACTGTGCTCGGCCTTATAAAAACTTTTTAAGACTTCTTGAATTGTGATAATCTGCCCTTGTTTGGTACTTTCTCTAGATAAGCAAAAAAAAAAAAAACCTTCAAATGAAGGACCATATAATAAACATTTATATTATCAGGAGCAGCATGTAAAAAAGAGCTACAGAGGTTGCTGTAGAATATTCTACAATTCACTGGCGGGGTGTGTGTGTGGAAGGAAGGGGAGTAGATGAGGACTCCAAGGAAGAGAGGGGCTGTGGTACAGAAGAAAACTAGCTGATTCCTAGTACCTGAAACATAACATACAGGAGATCGAGGAGAATCTCCAGGCTGGAGAAGAGCAAAAGATTCCTGTGGGACCCAACATTCTCTCCTTATATTTTCCCCACCTATAATTTCAACTTAATATAATGTGTACCCTGCTCCTTCTCCCTACTTTTAAAAGATGCTGTTGTCAAGAATCTCAGTGTCCATAAATTTAAAGTCTCAATCCCTTTTTAATCCCAAACTGTCTTCTTTTCTGTCCCTTGCTCACTGGATCCTGTGCCAAATACTCACACAGACATCCACAGACATATATGCACACATCATTGATCAATCCTTTTTCTTATTAATAAGCAAGGTACTAACCTTCATGTAGCGAAGATTGGGAATTGACATGATTCTCACTTCTGGAATATAATTGCTATGCATAAATAAAAAAATGCATTAATGTTCATTGGAGTCTCTTAAAATTATTACTTTTAAAAAATCTAGTGCAGTAAATAAAGGATTTCTTCATGTTAATTAGAACATATCAGAGAACAATAATTTTAATGAACCATATCATCACAGTAAGAACTTAAGAAAAGATGTAAGACCAAACTGGTATGAGTTCCTTCTGAAATCTTGTATGTACTTCTAGTTTAAACTGCCCAGGCCCCGGACTAGCATTTATTTATCAAGATATTGCTTAGTAATAACTAAGGCAAGACATTTATCTCCTTGCGCCTTGGTTTTCCCAATTATAAAATAAGGAAAATAATGATATCCATCACTTAAGGTTGCTGTGAAGAATAAATTAAATAATACATGCAAAAATGCTTTGAAAAGTGCTTCGAACAAAGCTCACATAAATGTTAACTACTGTGCATACATTAATATAATACAAAATCTATTGCAGAAACACTAAATGTCAGAGAAAAAAGTACATCTTAGAATTAAGGCAATAAGACATTTACAATTTAAACGAGCTATTTTTCATGGTGACTACCAGGATTACCTGAGTAACAACAAAAATTTAAGGAACTTTTGTCTTTCTTAATCTCAGAAAAACAAATACACACGCATACAAATGCAACAACATTAAAAAGAAATGTAAGGACCCCACTTCTAAGAATTTGAATTCAGGCCAGGCGCGGTGGCTCAAGCCTGTAATCCCAGCACTTTGGGAGGCCGAGGCGGGTGGATCACGAGCTCAAGAGATCGAGACCAACCTGGTCAACATGGTGAAACCCCGTCTCTACCAAAAATACAAAAAAAATTAGCTGGGCATGGTGGCGCGTGCCTGTAATCCCAGCTACTCAGGAGGCTGAGGCAGGAGAATTGCCTGAACCCAGGAGGCGGAGGTTGCAGCGAGCCGAGATCGCGCCATTGCACTCCAGCCTGGGTAACATGTGTGAAACTCCGTCACCAAAAAAAAAAAAAAAAAAGAGAGAATTTGAATTCAATACGTCTGAGGTTTGATGCTAGGGAATCTGTAGTTTTTTGTGGTTCTTTTTTTGAGACAGGGTCTTGCTGTTGCCCAGGCTGGGGTGTAATGGCACAATCATGACTCACTGAAGCCTCAACCTCCCAGGCTGAAGTGATAGTCCCACCTCAATCTTCCAAGTAGCTGGGAGTACAGGTGTGTGCCACCATGCTCAGCTAATTTTTTGCTTTTTTGTACAGATGAGGTTTCACTATGTTGCCCAGGCTGGGCTTGAACTCCTAAGGCTCAAGCTATCCTCCAGCCTTGGCCTCCCCAAGTGTTGAGATTACAGGTGTGAGCCACATACCTGGTCTCAGAGCATCTGTATTAAGACAGCCAGGCAATTCTAAAATGATGTCAGAAAAAAACACTTTTTCTCAAAGCAAACTTAAGAAATTGATGCTAAACACAGGCTACCATTCAGTGTTTCTGTAATGAGTGTAATTCTTAAGTAAGAAAGGAGTTAATCCCAGATTTCACATGTACCATTTCTAGGTCTCTATTCCTAACTAATCATGTATTAAATAAGAGTAGTTAGAAAAATGAACGTATTTTATGGTGAGTTACAAGGCATTTGCAAACGTAATTACTCATCTGATTCAAGAACCCCAACAGGAAGGCATTATTCCCATTTCAGAGAGAAGGGAAGTAAGTTTAGACAAAAACAGTAAGTGACAGACCCCCACCTGTCCCTCCTAGATCTTTCTGACTCACCAGACATGTACTTCCCAATCTTTTTGTTTCCTAATTTTTAATTGCTGCATAATATTCTACAGTACAAGTTATCTCGATTTAATCAACTACTTCCTTGTTAATGGTTAATCAGTTCGACACTGTAACTGTTTGTTAAACTGTTTGCAACTTTTTGCCATTAAAATATTCTAACACACATCCTTGGAAATATATCTTTATATATTGGTGCTTTTGTTTCTACACAATACATTCCTGAGATAATATTGCTGGGTTAAAACGTCTATGTAACTTGTTTTGATATTCCCAGATGACTCTCCAAAAAGACTAGTAATTCAAGATCCTACCAACAATGCATGCATATATGCATAAAAAAATTTACCCACATTCTCATGAGCACTAGATGCTAATTACTTTTTAAAACTTTTCCTATCAAGTCTTAATTTCTTTCCATATACAGTCTATCTTCTGACCATTTGAAATTCCTCTTCCAAAAGCTACCTGTTCAAATCCCTTGTTCCACATTCCACTTTACTGCCTCCTTCTATTTTTATCTTTTCAATTTCTGGAATTCTGTATACCTGGGATATTAAACTTTATCACAACTGCCAAATATTCTTTCTTGCTTTACTAATTGTCTCAGGACTTTGATGCTAATTTTGTCTTTTTAAATTTTTTTTCCTTAGAGTCCTGCTCCATTATCTAGGCTGGAGTGCTGTGGCACAACCATAGCTCACTGTAGCCTCGACTTCCTGGGCTCAAGGGGTCCACTCACCTCAGCCTCCCAAGTAGCTAGAACTACAGGTATATGCCACCATACCTGGCTAATTTAAAAAATTTTTTGTAGAGATGGGATCTTACTATGTTGCCCAGGATGGTCTTAAACCCATGGGCTCAAGAGATCTTCCTGACTCAGGCTTCCAAAGTGCTGGGATTACAGGTGTGAGCCACTGTTCCTGGCTTTAATTTCATATATATATATATAATTGCATTTTGGGTTCTGGGGTACATGTGAAGAACATGCAGGACTGTTGCATAGGTACATACATGGCAATGTGGTTTGCTGCCTCCATCCCCATCACCTATATCTGGCATTTCTCCCCATGTTATCCCTCCCCAACTCCCCAACCCCCACTGTCCCTCCCCTAGTCCCCGACAACAGACCTCAGTGTGTGATGCTCCCCTCCCTGTGTCAATATGTCCTCATTGTTCAACACCCGCCTATGAGTGAGAACATGTGGTGTCTGATTTTCTGTTCTTGTGTCAGCTTGCTGAGAATGATGGTTTCCAAGTTCGTCCATGTCCCTACAAAGGACACCAACTCATCGTTTTTTATGGCTGCATAGTATTCCATGGTGCATATGTGCCACATTTTCCCTGTCCAGTCTATCAACGATGAGCATTTGGGTAGGTTCCAAGTCTTTGCTACTGTAAACGGTGCTGCAGTGAACATTCGTGTGCATGTGTCCTTATAATAGAACGATTTACAATCCTTTGGATATATACCCAGTAATGGGATTGCTGGGTCAAATGGAATTTCTATTTCTAGGTCCTTGAGGAATCGCCACCCTGTCTTTCACAATGATTGAACTAATTTACACTCCCACCAACAGTGTAAAAGTGTTCCTATTTCTCCACATCCTCTCTAGCATATGTTGTCTCCAGATTTTTTAATGACCACCATTCTAACTGGCGTGAGGTGGTATCTCAATGTAGTTTTGATTTGCATTTCTCTAATGACCAGTGATGATGGGCATTTTTTCCTATGTTTGTTGGCCTCATATACGTCTTCTTTAGAAAAGTGTCTGTTCATATCCTTTGCCCACTTTTGAATGGGTTTGTTTTTTTCTTGTAAATGTTTTAGTTCATTGTAGATTTTGGATATAAGTCCTTTGTCAGATGGGTAGATTGCAAAAATTTTTTCCCGTTCTGTTGGGTGCCAGTTCACGCTAATGATGGTTTCTTTTGCTGTGCAGAAGCTCTGGAGTTGAATTAGATCCCATTTGTCTATTTTGGCTTTTGTTGCCAATGCTTTTGGTGTTTTAGTCATGAAGTCCTTGCCTATGCCTATGTCCTGAATGGTTTTGCCTTGGTTTTCTTCTAAGGTTTTTATGGTGTTAGGTCTTATGTTTAAGTCTTTAATCCATCTGGAGTTAATTTTAGTGTAAGGTGTAAGGAAGGAGTTCAGTTTCAGCTTTCGGCACATGGCTAGCCAGTTTTCCCAACACCATTTATTAAACAGGGAATCTTTTCACCATTGCTTGTTTTTGTCAGGTTTGTCAAAGATCAGATGGTTGTAGATGTGTGACATTACTTTTGAGGACTCTGTTCTGTTCCACTGGTCTATATCTCTGATTTGGTACCAGTACCATGCTGTTTTGATTACTGTAGCCTTGTAGTATAGTTTGAAGTCAGGTAGCGTGACGCCTCCAGTTTTGTTCTTTTTGCTTAGAACTGACTTGGCTATGCAGGCTCTCTTTTGGTTCCATATGAAGTTTAAGGTGGTTTTTTCCAGTTCTGTGAAGAAGTTCATTGGTAGCCTGATGGCGATAGCACTGAATCTGTAAATTACTTTGGGGAGTATGGCCATTTTCATGATATTGGTTCTTCCTAACCATGAGCATGGAATGTTTCTCCATCTGTTTGTGTCATCTCTTATTTCGTTGAGCAGTGGTTTGTAGTTCTCCTCGAAGAGATCCTTTACATCATTTCTTAGTTGTATTCCTAGGTATTTTATTCTCTTTGTAGCAACTGTGAATGGCAGTTTGTTCTTGATTTGGCTCTCTAAGTCTGTTATTGGCGTATAGGAATTCTTGTGACTTTTGCACACTGATTTTGTATCCTGAGACTTTGCTCAAGTTGCTTGTCAGTTTAAGGAGATTTTGGGCTTAGACGATAGGTTCTTCTAAATATACAATCATGTCATCTGCAAATAGAGACAATTTGACTTCCTCCTTTCCTAATTGAATACCCTTTATTTCTTTTTCTTGCCCGATTGCTCTGGCTAGAACTTCCAGTACTATATTGAACAGGACTGGTGAGAAAGGGCATCCTTGTCTAGTGCCAGATTTCAAAGGGAATGCTTCCAGTTTTTGCCCATTCAGTATGATATTGGCTGTGGGTTTGTCATAAATAGCTTTTATTATTTTGAGATATGTTCCATCGATACCTAGTTTATTGAGAGTTTTTAGCATAAAGACTGTTGAATTTTGTTGAAGGCCTTCTCTGCATCTATTGAGATAATCATGTGGTTTTTGTCTTTGGTTCTGTTTATGTGGTGAATTACGTTTACAGACTTGCATATGTTAAACTAGCCTTACATCCCTGGGATGAAGCCTACTTGATCGTGATGGATAAACTTTTTGATATGCTGTTGCAATTGGTTTGCCAGTATTTTATTGGAGATTTTTGCATCTATGTTCATCACGGATATTGGCTTGAAGTTTTCTTCAATAAGTTAACATTTAATTAGATGAACACTGGGTAAGTTTTAAGTGGCTGTATTTGTCTCTAATGAGGGCTATTCAGATAGCCTGATAAGTAGTTTTTAAACACAAAATTCTCTTCTACTTACAAATCCCAGAGAGTTAACAATAGCTTAATCACTTTCACCCCAGTCAATGAAGTGTTATCATAACACAGGTAAAAAATGAACAGTTACAGGGATACTCTTCAATCAGCTATACGTTATTACTTTTTAATTTTTTGAAGGATTATTCCCAAACTCAGATACTTTATAATTTGTAATGAAAGACTAGAGACTCTCCACCAAATAACATACCTCGTTGCCCCATATCATACTAGGTCACTGTGTCCCTGATACCAACATATCTGAACCTATGTCTACAGAGTTATCTTAAACTTCATGGCATGTAACTGAATTCAAAACCTAAACAGGAAAAGAATGTCAAGATTATTTTGATGTGATTTTTTTATTTTTTTATTTTTTTAGGCCAGGAGTAAACATACTTCACACTGGGGAAGAAGAATAAATCAAAATAACTCAAAACAATAACCAAAAACACTAATCTCAAAATACTCACACAGCGACCAGTTGGATTTTGAATTTGATTGATGTTGGGTTAAATTCTGGCTTGCTCAAATTATGTTCACATTTCTAAAACGAAAACAAATATAACATGTACAGAAGACAACAACACATTTTGCTAATCCATAGAGCTGTTAAATTCAGAAGGAAAGCATTTATGAGAATTTTGTTTGGTTTTATTCTGCTATATGACCATATTTTTTTGAAATAGTTTATACCAACCAAAGTTTACACAAGATGTCTGTACTTCCTGATATGTACAACCACACTATCCAATATTATGATACCTCTGTGCTACTTAAAAACTACAAAAATAACTAACACATACTGAGTACTTACTGTATGTGCTGAGCAATTGCTCACTGGTTTAAATGGATTTAAACATCACATCAACTTTATGAGGTAGGTACAGGCATTATATTAAGGCTGGCATTTTATAGATGATTAAAATTGTATACAGGAATGGTAAGCCACCTGTGCAACTTCATAGTGCCAATAAACATGGATGCTGGGATTTAAATCCAGGTAGTATAATTCCAGATCCTATGCTTAAAGCAGAGTAACAATTATTTTTTTTGAGATAGGATATCATTCTGTTACCCAGGCTGGAGTGCAGTGGCACAACCAAAGCTCACTACAGCCTCCAACTTCTGGGCTCAAGCAATCCTCCTGCCTTGGCCTCCCAAACTGCTGGGATTACAGGCATGAGCCACTGCACCAAGCCAGTAACAACTACTTACTGCTTTCTTAAACATGTACTACATACACCTGGTTAAAAAATATATATATATATATATATATTTTTTTGAGACCGAGTTTTGCTCTTGTTACCCAGGCTGGAGTGCAATGGCGCGATCTCGGCTCACCGCAACCTCCGCCTCCTGGGTTCAGGCAATTCTCCTGCCTCAGCCTCCTGAGTAGCTGGGATTACAGGCACGCACCACCATGCCCAGCTAATTTTTTGTAGCTTTAGTAGAGACGGGGTTTCACCATGTTGACCAGGATGGTCTCGATCTCTTGACCTTGTGATCCACCCGCCTCGGCCTCCCAAAGTGCTGGGATTACAGGCTTGAGCCACCGCGCCCGGCAAAATATTTTTTAACAGTACAAAAAAGGTGTCCAGCGTAAAGATTACCTGTCATCTGTCTGTCCCATTCCTCTCCCCAGATAGCCTAATGCACATAAAAGTACAAGCATACATCACCTTGCTTTTTTCACAATAACACAAAAGGAAACATATTTTTTTTTAATTTTTTATATTATTTTTTTGCCCTTTGCTTTTTTCATTTAATCTAGCTTGTCATTAGTTCCATTTCAGTACACATAGAGGAGCCTCTGTGCCCCGCTGTAACAACTTCTATAACTTATAGAAGACAGAAATTGATGGACATTCAGGATGTTTCCATCATTTTGCTATGGTAAGAAATGCAGCAATGAGTGTTCTTGTATATGAATCATTTCCCAAATGTCTAAGTATTTGTAAGACAATTTCCTAAAAATAGATCAAAGGGTGTATTTATTTGCTATTTTAATGGATACTATAATATAGCTGACTAATCTGATGATTATGACATGATATTCTATTGCAGTTAAAATTAAAAAAATTTTTCATTTTCTCATTGCAGTTTTAATGTACATTTCCCTGATTAGTGTATAAATTTGAATTTCTTTCATATTTATTGGCTATTGGAATTTCTTCTGCCATAACTTGCATGTTAGGATCTACTGGTTATTTTTATTTCCTTGCTGATTTGCTGAAGTTCTTTACACACTCTAGACATTAATCTATTGTTAATAATATACCTTGTAAACTACTTTTCTCAGTCGTGGTTTATCTTTTTATTTCTTTCTGGATTTTCTTTGGCATGAGGGTACAAGTTTTACTTTTTTTTTTTTTTTTTTGAGACGGAGTCTTGCTCTGTCACCAGGCTGGAGTGCAGTGGTGCAATCTCAGCTCACTGCAACCTCCACCTCCCAGGTTCAAGCGATTCTCCTGCCTCAGCTTCCTGAGTAGCTGAGACTACAGGTGCTTGCCACCACGTCCAACTAATTTTAGCATTTTTAGAAGAGATAGGGTATCACCATGTTGGTCAGGCTGGTCTCAAACTCCTGACCTCATGATTTGCCTGTCTCAGCCTCCCAAAGTGCTGGGATTACAGGTGTGAGCCACTGTGCCAGGCCAAGTTTTACTTTTAATGAAGTAAAATATGTAACTTTACATCATAGTTTGTGCTTATTTGTCTTACTTACGAAACATTCTCCTACCCAGAAGTCATGAAGGTATTTTCCTGTATTTCCTTTCAGAACTTTTGCTCTTCAAATTTCCAATGTTCCCGATATTAACTTCTGTGTAGGGTATGAGCAACCCAATTTTATTTTTTTCCATATAATCACTCGACCTAGCAAAATTTAATAGCCTATTCTTTCCCCAATGATCTAAAATGCTATACTTAGTATACAAGAAATTTTCTCATATGCATTGGCCTATATCTGCATATATATACATACATGTATAGACACACTTTTTTTTTATATGTGCGTTTGTATTTTCCCTCCTTCTTTATACAAAAAGTTACATACCTACCATGCACTTTGCTTTTTGCATTTAAAAATGTATCCCTTATTAGCACATACTTTTAAATAAATTTATAGTACTCATTGTGTGGATATACCATATCTCTGCATATTTTGGTTTGTATTTGTGGAGGTGTAAGGTAGACTCCTAAAAGTTCATGAGACAAAAGGTAACTTTACTTTCGGTAGATATTGCTATATTAATGGTGTATTATATAACTAACCATATTTACATAAATTTATATCAATTTAATTTATATAACTATTTCTATTACTAAACTTTTTTAAGAAATCAACTTCTGATTTTATTGCTCTTTTGTATTCTATACTGGTTTCTTAATTTATTAATACTTGCCCTCCTATTGTCTTTGTACTTTGCTATTCTTTTTCTAACTTCCTGAAATGGATGCTGACATCACTAATCTTTTAATATTTCTTCTTCTCTAATATATATACTGATACTGTATAGCTAAGCATGGCCTTAGTTGTATCCTGTAAGTTTTGCTATAAAGAAATTACTGATTTCTAACTTAACTGCATTGTGATAGAATAATATACTTTTATAATTTCATCTTCCAACTGACAACCTCAGCAAGAGAAGGCATAGGGACTCCAATGGCAGCAGCAGCATGTACAAAGAAACGATTATGAAAGTTGGTAGACAATGTTGGGTGGGTGCCCCAGGTCTCTCCAAGCAGACATGTATTTACTTTGTTTTTTAAAACAAACGTATATTTTTCTTATTTATTTTTTTGAGATGGAGTTCCGCTCTTGTTGCCCAGGCTGGAGTGCAATGGAGCGATCTCAGCTCACCGCAACCTCCGCCTCCCAGGTTCAAGCGATTCTCCTGCCCCAGCCTCCCAAAAAACCTGTATTTTAAGTAGAATTTAAAAAAAAAATAAGTTGGTGCAAGGCTACATGACTTTTGATCAAAACAACGAGATACAGGGCTTCTAAATATAAGGGATCATCTGAAATTCATGTTGTTTGAAATAATTGTCTAATTTTGAGGGTTCCAGTATTTGTGTGAAAATTCGACAATTTTTAAAGAAGTCCTTGGAAACTGGCATTGACAATCAATCTCCTTAAAATAGAATTTCAAAGCTTTTCAACACACTGCAACTCTCCCTAGCTTTGGACCAACTCCACAACTGAGCAGAGCCACCTCCTCCAGACATGCATTGCTCTGCTGCTGGATACTCTAACAGCTTGCACAAAGCAGCTCACTTAAAAAGAGATATTGTGTAGTTTAAAATACATTAATTTGTGTAAAATAACTTGCTCTGTTATAAACCACCATTAAAAACCATTATAATGTTTTTAATAATATGATTTGGCACTTAAATATTTTTGGAGTGAAAATTATCACTAAAGTAATATACGACTCCCACAAAAATATGGTTTCATCATTATTAAAGAGAACTGTATTGATTTGCCAAAATTCTGCAACTTAGCAAAGGTATTACCTTCCTTGGATTTGTACTTTGTGATTTAATAGGCTGTACTGTGGGCTGGTTATGTTAATTGAAAAAATAAAGTCATTATGCAAGTTTTGCAGCACTCTAAACATAAGCAGAAAAACAGCTGTTCAGATCTTTTAGCAATTCACATTTGTCTACCTTACAAACTGCCATGTGTCCAAATCATGATTTTGTAATTGCTAAGGTATGATATGTCAGGTTATTTGAAAACAATTATTTTTTGAAGTAATTGTGACCGCAAAACATCCTTTTTTACATGAAGAGTTGTACATCATTTGAAATCATGCAAATGATGTCTTGATCTGAAGCATAAACCCAGGTACTTAATGTTTTTAATAATATGGTGCCACTGCAGGGGTTGGGGGCGGTGCAGAAGAACAAGGACAATGGTCGGGGAGGACTGGCCTAACTAATCACTAAGTGAATTGTACTGCAGCTTTTATTTACAGGAAATCCTTATTTGGGATATTCGAGGGCAGCTGCAAGCTGAAAACAATCCAGTAGATGTACTTTGTTTATATTTTTATACCAGACAATTATCAACTGCTAAATAATAGCTTTGATATTTGCAACTGTTGCATAGACTATTTTTGCTAAAAGGTGATTAGCTCTTGCCTTTAATTTTACAGTGCTTAAAGTGATAAGCTTCTAGTCATGTTTCCTATGAAAGAGACTACTTGATATATGTACGTAAACCACTGAAATAGTATAACTATTTTTAAATTACCATTTTTCTACTTAAAATATTTAAAATAAGGCTTTTCTTAGGACACTTCTAAAGCAGATTAAATCCAATAAGGTTTCTGATTTTTTTTTTTTTTTTTACTGATATAGTTTTTCCAACTGAAATAACGTTTCAGCTAAATAAAGCATTGTTAAATATTAATATTTGATTAAAAAATTGTCTTGTAAGGTCGGGCGCGGTGGCTCAAGCCTGTAATCCCAGCACTTTGGGAGGCCGAGGCGGGTGGATCACGAAGTCAAGAGATCAAGACCATCCTGGTCAACATGGTGAAACCCTGTGTCTACTAAAAATACAAAAAATTAGCTGGGCATGGTGGCGCGTGCCTGTAGTCCCAGCTGCTCAGGAGGCTGAGGCAGGAGAATTGCCTGAACCCAGGAGGCGGAGGTTGCGGTGAGCCGAGATTGCGCCATTGCACTCCAGCCTGGGTAACAAGAGCGAAACTCCGTCTCAAAAAAAAAAAAAAAAATTGTCTTGTAAAATTTCTGTAAATTATATTTGTTCTAAAAAAAAGGTATAATGTCCTAATATTAAAAGATTTTAAACAAATCCTTTTCCTTTGATTTTTAAAACTCTGATCTAATGATAAAATTCTATAAATTTTCATTTTCCAGTACAGTTAAATACCAAAACAACTGGTAATTCATAACTTTTACTTGTTATAATATAAACACACAACAAGCAAATGTATTTAAGAGGACTAAATGGAAATAAGGTATTCTAAAGAGGAACCTTTGTGCTATTGAGCATCTTAACCTATTTATTATTATTAAAGTATTAATTTGAATTAAGGAAACCTTTTCTTGTTAATAAAAACTTCCTTTTAACTGACAAAAAAATTTTCATCTTCTGAAAAATGTTCAGACTTACTTTATAATAACCTAGTACATAGTCAACCTTTATAAGCGTTCTATGTATAGTTGAAAAGAATGCATATATTCTGCAGATAATGGGTACAGGGTCTATAAATGTCCATTTGGTCAAGTTTGCTCATTAAATTGTCCAACTGTTCTATATTCTAACTGATTTTCAACTATTTGTTCTCTCAGTTACTGAGAGAAGTATGTTAAAATTTCCCAGAATGATTTGTCCACTTAACGTCATTTTCTCAAATGTTAGCATATCTGGAGTCTTATTATTTGGTGCATATGACTTTAGACAGTTGTATCCTCTTTGTAAACTGAATCTTTTTTTTAAACAAATTATCCCTCTTTTAAAAAAATTAGTGTTTGTGCAATATCTTTCCCATCTCTCTCTACTTTCAACCTTTCTGAATTCTCACGTTTGTGCCTCTTATAATAAGCATATAGATGGCTCACTGTAATCTGCTTTATTATTTAGACTGACAGTGTTTGTCTTTTAATAGAAGCATTTAGTTCACTGGTATTTAATGTAAATACTGATACATCTATATTTTAATCTACTATCTTACTACACACATTTTTTTTTTTTTTTAAGAAAACAGGGTCTTCTGGCTTTGTCACCCAGGCTGGAGTGCAGTAGTGTGATTATGGCTTACAGCAGCCTTAATCTCCTGGGGTCAAGTGATTCTCCTGCCTCAGTCTCCTGAGTTGCTGGGACTACAGGTGTGTACCACAACACTGGCCTTTTTTTTGGTAGAGACAGGGTCTCACTATGTTGCCTAGTCTGATCTTAAGCTCGTGGGCTCCAGTGATCATCCTGCCTTGGCCTCTTAAAGTGTTGCAATTATAGGCACAAGCCCAGGCTTTCTATATGAACCACCAGTTCTATGTTCCTTTGTCCCTTCTTTTTCTTTCTTTTTATAAAGGTTTTTCATTATTAAAATTTTCTAACATGTACAAAAATATAGAATGATGTTATAAATCTCCAGGCACTCATCACCCAACTTCAACAATTATCAACTTAGGAATGCAGGACTTGAATCTATGCTCCCAGGTTAAACAAACAAAAAGAATCAGCGACTTGTTATTAAAAATTAGCAACAGGGGGCTGGGCATGGTAGGCCTGTAATCCCAGCACTTTGGGAGGCTGAGGTGGACAGATCGCCTGAGGTAAGGAGTTTGAAACCAGCCTGGCCAACATGGTGAAACTCCATCTCTATTAAAAAAAAAATTAGCAACAATGGCAAATCTTGTTTCATTTATGCTCTTCTTTGTTTTTTTGAGACAGTCTCGCTCTGTTGCCTAGGGTGGAGTGCGGTGGCGTGATCTTGGCTCACTGCAACCTCCACCTCCCGGGTTCAAGCGATTCTTCTGCCTCAGCCTCCCAAGTGGCTGGGACTACAGGTGTGCGCCACCACGCCCTGCTAATTTTTTGTATTTTTAGTAGAGATGGGGTTTCACCATATTGGCCAGGGTGGCCTCGAACTACTGACCTCATGTTCCACCTGCCTCAGCCTCCCAAAGTGCTGGGATTACAGGTGTGAGCCACCGTGCCGTCTTTCATTTATACTTTTAACTACTCCTCATTCCTGATTATTTTGCAACAAACATCATGTCATTTCCTTCATAAATATTTCTGTGTGTATATCCAAAAGATAAACACATTAAAAAAAAAAAACCAAAACCCAGTACTATCATATTCCTAAAAAACGGAAAAATACATCTTTTTTTTTTTTTTTTCCCCCCGTGAGACAGGTTTTTACTATGTTGCCTAGACTAAAGTACAGTGGCTATACACAGGCACGATCATCAAACACTACAGTCTCAAACTCCTCTGGCTCAAGGATTCTCCTGCCTCAGCCTCCAGGGTAGCTGAGACTACAAGTGCATATCACTGTGCCCTGCTGCATAGTTCTTTAATAGCATCAAAAGCCTACCAGTGTTCAAATTTTCCCAAAGATTTCACAAATTTTTCTTTCCTTCTTTCCTCTTTCCCTTCTTCCCTCCTCCCCTGGGCCCTTTCTTTCTGTTTTGTTTGAACTCAGAATCTACACAATATCTATACATTGTGTTTGGTTGGTAAACTTTTAAGTATCTTCTAATCTAGAGAATGATTAAGTAACCTTAGCCACTAGCAACATGTGGCTATTTAAATGAAATTAAAGATAGACTCACTACCTCAGCTGCACCATCACATGTCATGTGCTCAATGGCCACTACATGTGCCTAGTGGCTAACATACAGAACTGTACAGACACAGAACACTTCGATCACCATAGAAAGTTCCGTTGGATAGTACTGATCTAAAAGCTTTTTTTTCCATTTTGTTTATACAATTTATTTACTGAAGAAACGCTGTCACGTGTTCTGTACATTACCAGAATCTGGATTTTACTGATTTTTCTTTTTTCTTGCTTTCTTTTAAATTGATTATTTTTTATTGGTCCTCCATGAGCCTGAACACTAGCCTAAAAGTTATACACTCTTTCAGTATTCTTTTTTTTTAAATTTTATTCTTAACAATTTTATAATTTTATATCTTAACAAAAACATATGACATGTTATATCAGATTTTTAGAACGTGTAAATTTATATGCATTGATAATACAATTGAAAACATAATTAAAATTAAATTATTGGAAGTCAATTTAGAATTCATTTGGTTTTGTTTTCAATTTTTTTTTTTTTTTTGCATTTTATTGCATTTTAGGTCTTTCAGTATTCTTTTAGGGATTAACCCTATGTACCTAACCTTCAGATACTTCATTTTCTACATCTGTAAAACAGGTTCCACAGAAGTACCTACCTCACAGAGTTGTAAGAGTTGTTTATATTAAAGGTATTTAAAATAGTGCCTGGCAACTGGTATGCTCTCTACGAGTATTTTCTGTAGTTACTACATTCCAAAGGTTTTGCCATGGTCAGACACCAGCCACATTAATTTTGCTTTCTTCTTATACAAATGGCAGTTCTACAGAATGGAATACTTACACGGCAGCGCAGGGACCGTTTGATCAGAAGATGTTTGTGGCGAGGATACAGCTGTGAAGCACAGACTGGCTGGAAGTCAGGCTGTAACAGACGCTGCTGAAGGGTGGTTACTAGAAAGAAAGGCAGAAACTAGGTTTAGTTTACAGTGACTTTAATATTGGACTTTTATGTAGCAGTAATTACATGAAGCAATACAGCCTTTATGAAGAGCGTTGTTCATAAAAATGAAAAGAAATCTGACATTTTAGATTTCAAACAATGACATCTATTATAGCTGTTTGATTTTCTACATATCATTTTACTACTAACAACTATTCCATTAAAAATCTCAAATCACAAGGTATATAAATAACAGAAAAAGAATTAGCCGCAGACTAGAAACAAAGTAGAATAATGTAGAAAATTACCCTCTGTTAAATTTACTGGTCTTGTATAATAGTCTTCAGGTAGAGGTTCCACTTCATCTACAGCCTGAGCTGGCTCAATCTTTATCTCTTTCTGATCCTCTCCTTCTTTAAGGCTAAAAGATTTAAAAAAAAAAAAAAAAAAAGCAGTAATTTCTCAAGGATCCATCTGATTATCCTCAGTTATGATATCAATAATTGAAGTATTCCTCTGTCATAGACTATCTGTTCAGTGTAGGTCTTTTCTAAGTATAAGAATCTTCTTTTCCATTGCCAACTCTGTGTGTGTGTGTGTGTGTGTGTGTGTGTGTGTGTGTGTGTGTGTGTGTTTGTGTGTGTGTGTTTTAATCTCATTCCTTTGACATTCATTTTGATACCTGCTGTTCTCCTCAAAGTTATTTAATGTCTAAACTTACGAAAGTCCTGCAAGGGTACTGATGGATGCACCAGCTCGTGGTCGCTGAAGCCTGGTTCCAAGACCATATTTGTCCTAAACAAAGTTCAGAAATTCCTATTAGAAAGTCCATATTTACATATTCTATTTATCAAAAGAAAAAATTTTGGGTAGGACAGCATGAGAAGCTCAGGGAAATAAAAAAAAAAAAAAAAAAAAAAAAAAAAAAAAAAAAAAAAAAAAAAAAAAAAAAAAAAAAAAAAAAAAAAAAAAAAGTTAATTTAAAGGCTTCTTTTAAAGAAAGCAATTTGTAGCCCCACATCATTATTCTATTATTAATAATAACAGCACTAAACAGAGAGATTAAAACTACATTAATACAGTAAAAACGAACCAAATGTGAACTTCTGGTATTAATCTAAAAATATCTAAGCTATGGCTCAGGCAAGAACTATGTGGAGTGTCTAAGATACACAATGGATGTCTTCCTGGAACACCGGCGGTCACCTGCTAACTTCTTCAGGGTCGGCAAGAATCATAAAGGAGAACTTACCACTACATGAATAGTGTGTTGCTGTAGAGCCCCAAAATAGCAGCAGGTTGCAACAGAGACAAAAAATGCAGCATAAGATAGAAGCAAATGCATATAGCAGGCAGGTTATATGGGAAAATTGGAAGAATAATGCATTTAATTCAAATTCCACACCTAAATATAACATATATTATTGCATATGCTGACTGTACCACTGGACTATTCAGAAAAACTCACTTCTTTTGCAAATGTAGGTGCTTTGCAAAGGTTAACGTTTTTGAATTCTAATCTAGTTTTTTTTTTTTTTTTTTTTTTTTTAAGACAGAGTTTTGCTCTGTCACCCAGGCTCGAGTGCAGTGGTGTGATCTCAGCTCACTGCAGCCTCCACCTCCTGAGCATAGTGATTCTCATGCCTCAGCCTCCCAAGTAACTGGGATTACAGGCATGTGCCACCATGCCCAGCAAATTTTTTTTTGTATTTTTAGTAGAGACAGGGTTTCACCACATTGGCCAGATTGGTCTTGAACTGCTGACCTCAAGTGATCCTTCTGCTTCAGCCTCCCAGAGTGCTGGGATTACAGGTGTGAGCCACCATGCCCAGCTTAATCTAGATATTTTTATATAGACTTTACCAACCCTTAGGGTTTCAACGACTTAACTAATTTTCATGTGACTGTAGTATGACAAGTTGCTTAACTAAGTCTCATTTCCTCTAGTGTAAAATGGGGATATGATACCTCACAAGATTTTGTGAGGAATAAATAAAGTAATAAGTGTAAAGTGTTTAGCACAGAGCTTGACACATCATTGTCATTCAATAAAAGTTATTTATTGAATGTCAATCTGCTGGGCCCCAAGCAAGCACACAGAAAACAAACGGTACTATGAGAGCAAATAAAACTTGGGGGGAAATAACAAAAATTCCAAATCCTAATTTCTTGTTTCTTACTAGCAGTACATAAACTGGTAGAGAACGACTCTCATAAATAATTCTTATCACAAATTCTACTTGCATATATTACTATTTAACCACACAAATGCACTATGTAAAAAGTCAGTGTTTTTCATCTTGGAGAAACAGTGAAGGATGTTAAAAAAAAAAAACTATAACTAAAGCTGAGAAACCACTACTGCCAGGATGTCAAAGGTGGGTGACATGGGTAACATGACTAAAATCTACCATTTGCTCACATCCCTCCTCAGGCTTTCTATAATATACAAAAGCTGTACGTAGAGTTCTGGAGTGCCTACGAAATTAACAGCTTTTCTGGGGAAATGATCAGAAGATAAAAGGGAGTGATGGAGACAGAAACACAAATGTCCTTAAAACACAAACAACTCAAATGAACCAATGGTATGGCAAAAGCATAACTATTGGACTTAAATATCTGTAATTTGAAGAATCCCTCTCTCTGCTATTCACCATTCAGAAATCTAGGACAATGGCCACTTTCTAAAATGATCACTGTTCTTAGGCCCTACAGGTCTTGCAAATCCTTTTAGTGCCAAATTCTCACCGAAAAAGCCAGAGGCATATAGTTTCTACGCCGTGCCAGTTTCTTGCGATCTCGCTCAACCTTCTCTTTCTGAGCAAGCTGCTGGTAATATTCAATCAATTTGTTCATCTGTAAAAAAATCACAGACTCAGTACACAAAAACGCTAACAGAAAACATACCAAATTAATCACTACCCTGACTAGACACATAATGAACAGAGAAGACAAATGAAGATGGGCAAGTTTGCCATTTTTCTTCAGAGAATTTTCTTTGCTATGTGATCTATTTTCCAAACCGAAGTGGAAAACTGAAGCTCAAGGACAGGAAGAAATGGGCAATGAAAAGGCTTGGAAATGTCTTGCTCTCTTACTTCATTACTTATTTCCCTCACAACTGCTCTTATTTTTTTTTCTTCATGGCCACAGGACCATTTCTAAGAACATGACATTTTATACTGTATTTTATTCCCCAACTCCATCACACTTTTTAATTTTTAAAATACATGTCAATTATGAAAGCAATATACATTAATCATAAAAAGTTCAAACAAGGCTGGGCACAGTGGCTCACGCCTCTAATTCTAGCACTTTGGGAGGCCAAGGTGAGTGGGCTGCTTGGGGCCTGGAGTTCAAAACCAGCCTGGGCAACAGAGTGAGCCCTTGTCTCTATAAAAAATGCAAAAGTTAGCTGGGCATGGTGGCGTACACCTATAGTCCCAGCTACTCAAGAGGATGAGGTGGTGAAAAAAATGGCAGATAGGAAGTTGGACTAACTTACAGCTTCCCCTCAAACAGAACAACATGCGGAGACTCACACTATAAACTGTTACTCCAAGAACTACTGCAGGAACATGCTAGGAAAACTGAAAAAGTTCACAGACCCTTTGAAAGAAGTGGCCTGCCACTGCAAAATCTGTGAGACTGTGGAAAAATGGTGAGTGCCCCAAGTGTGAGAGGGGGAAAGCCTAACTCTAAACACACATCCTCACTGGAGAACCTAAAAATCCAGATCATGGGAGAAAAGTTTAACCTTATCTAGTGCTGAAACAAATTTAGAGAGCCGAGTGAAACATAAATGTAGAAGAAACAACAGAGAGAAGAGCCCTGCAGGCACTCCTGGTTCCCAGGGAAGCCATTTCTGACTTTAACCTTACAGGGGTCCTTGGGGAGTGCTGCCAGTAGAACTGAGGAAGGACCACAGGGAGATGGAACTTCCAGGTGAATTTTATAATAATTTTGACCGAGAGCAAATTTTCCCGGGCAGAATTGAGATGGGGACAGTGTGAAGGGGAAGTACAGATATGAGCATATAAGCAGTAGGGAAGGGGTGGAGCCCAAAAGGCTGGCTTGCTTTCTCAGCAGGTAGGCTTATAGCCTGAGGCAAGATGGGGCACGGTGGGAGTGAGACTGGCCTTGCTGGCTGCTTGAGACCTGGGTGAGGCCTGTCACTGCTGGATTTCCCCTACTTCCTGGCCACCTGTATGACACAGCAGAGGCAGCCATAATCCATTGGCCTGAGAATCATACAACCGCCACAGTTGGTGGCCACAGCAAGCCCTGCCCAAGGAGAGTCTGAGCTTAGACACACCCCCACCTTTCACTACCTGCCCTAGTAGCCCAAGACAAAAGACTAAACTCTTGGGGTGTCTATGGCCCCACTGATCACCTCAGAAACTCAAATATTTATCCAGGCAATTTTAGGGCAAGCTTGTTTCCTCACCACACTGCTGCAGCTGCTGCTTTCTTGAAAGCACCACATCCTGGCTGGAGGCCAACAAACTCAAGCCATTACAGCAACTCATAAAAGAACCCTGCCCCCCAAAAGGAGAAAACAACAGCTAATTCCACCACCCTGTAACATCCTGGCGAAACAGAGGTCCTGAGTCTGTCCACGTGAAAAGTCACTGCTAGCACAACCAGCATTCAAGAAAACTAGCACACTAAACTACAACCAAGGACCCTCACAGAGTCCACCTCACTCCCCTGCTGCCTCCACCAGGGCAGGTGCTGGTATCCACAACTGAGAGACCGGAAGACAGACTGCATCACAGGACTCTTTGCAGACACTCCCCAGTACCAGCTCAGAGACCGGTAGCTGTGCTGGGTAGCTAGACCCAGAGCAGCAATAACAATAACTGCAGTCCAGTTCTCAGGAAGGTGCATCCCTAGGGGAAGGGAAAGAGCACCTTCGAGGAACCATGCCGTGGGACAAGAGAATCTGAACAGTAGCCCTCAAGTCCCAGATCTTTCCTGACATAGTCTACCCAAATGAGAAGGAACCAGAAAAAGCAATTCTGGTAATATGACAAAACAGCGTTCTTAAAAGATCACGCTAGCTCACCAGCAATGGATCCAAACCAAGAAGAAATCTCTTATTTATTTATTTATTTTATTTATTTATTAAAGACGGGGTTTCACTATGTTGGTCAGGCTGGTCTTGAACTCCCAACATAAGGTGATCCGCCCGCCTTGGCCTCCAAAGTGCTTGGATTACAGGCGTGAGCCACCACGCCCGGCCTGAAGAAATCTCTGAATTGTTTAGAAGGAAAAATATTTAGAAGAAAAAGAATTCAGAAGGTCAATTATTAAGCTACTCAAAAGGGCATCAGAGAAAGGTGAAAACCAACTTAAGGAAATTAAAAAAAAATACAGGTTATGGACAAAAAAAAATCTCCAGAGAAACAGAAGCATAAATAATAATCACAATCTTGGAATGAAAGACACATTTAAACAAGGCTTTTGAATTAACCCAATCTGACAAAGGCAAAAAAAAAAGAATAATATAAAAAATAAAGCCTCCAAGAAGTCTGCGATTATATTAAGTGACCAAAACTAAGAATAATTGGTGTTCCTGAGGAAGAAGAGAAATCTAAAGGTTTGGAAAGCTTACTTGAGGAAAGGATCAGAGAAAACTCCCCTGGCCTGGCTAGAGATCTAGACATCCAATTACAAGCAGCTCAAAGAAGACCTGGGAAATTCACTGTAAAAAGATCATCACCTAGGTGTACAGTCATCAGGTTATCTAAAGTCAAGACAAAGGAAAGCCTCCCAAAGTACTGGGATTACAGGCATGAGCCGCCACACTTGGCCGTTTATGACATTTCTAAGAGTATCTGAGAACAAATGGAACCTTAACTTACTGGTGGGTGTGTGAAGAAAAAACAAAAACTTGGTTCCTTTTCCTGAGGTACAAATCAAATACAGAACTAAAGCTACACCTAGGATTCTCCATTACCTTAAGTCGCCCGGAAAAAAGTGACATAGTATTTCTACGGCTTACAATAAGGAGCACTTTCTATGTGCAACACATGCAAAAATACATATCATGGACTTCTACACACAGGTCATACCCACTGATAAAATGTAACATCTTCAGTCTTTTACTCAGTTTTTTCTGATTTCATCCTCTCTCTCTGATGACCCTTTACTTACCCGTTGGGTGTGAGGATTTTCAGGTTCCTGCCAACCGCCACTAGCTACAAAATAAAAGGATATTAAATAAGACTTTCACAATTTGAAAATTTTATTTTTATAAAACAAGTCTTCTATAGGCCATAAAATGAAACTTAAAACGTAAGTTATACAGACCAGAATGGTCAGAACAAAATTTCAAAAAAACATAGAATAATGGTGGTAATGATCACCACCACCAGCACCACTAATGCACAGCCTCTGTGCCAGGCACTTGAAATGTATTACATTTTCTTTTTCTAATAACAACTCACTGAGATAAGGACTGCTATTAGTCTCATTTCATATATGAGGAAACTGAGGCTCAGACATGTTAAATAACTTGCTCAAAGTCACATGGACAGTAAGTGGTAAAGCCAGGATTCAAACTCAGTCTGACTCCAGAGACTTTGCTCTTATCTGTAATACTGTGCATTTTCTATGTTCTATGACCTTGGCTTAGAGAAGAATTTCTTATGTAAGAAACACACAGCATAAATCACAAAGGAAAAGTTTATTAAAGAAAATTGAAAGTACTGAAAGTAAAACTATAATGAATACTTTTAACAAATGGTGCTGCAACAATGAAATATCCACATACCCACCTCCAAAAAAAAAAACCCCACAGAAAACAAAAAACGAAAGGATCCTTACTTCACAACATTTATAAAATTTATCTTGAGATGAGCAAGACTTAAATGTAAGTGCTAAAACTACAGCGTTTCTAAAAGAAAACATGGGTGTATCTTAGTTACACTGGGTTAGGCTAAAGTTTCTTTAATAGGACACAAAAAGCACAAACTATAAAATTTTTAAAAATGTTAAATTAGACTTCATTGAAATTATAAACTTGAATTCTTTAATAGACACTGCTAAGAAAAGGAAAAGGCAAGCCACAGACCGGGAGTAAATATTTGCAAAACATATATTCAACAAAGGACTTCTACACAGAATACAGAACTCTTACAACTAAGTTTAAAAAAGCAAATTAAAACAAACCAACAACAACAACAAAAACTCAGTTAAAAAGTAGGGAAAAGATTTGTACAGACATTTCACCAAAGATATATGGATGGTAAATAAACATACTGAGAAAATGCAAATTAAAACTGCACTGTTGTACGTGTGTTAGAATGGCTAAAATGAGGAAGACTGACAATATCAAGGGTTGTCAAGGGATTAGAACTCTCCTAATTTGCTAGTGAGGATCCAAAATTGTTCTGTCACTTTGGAAAACAGTTTGGCACTGGCCGGGTGCAGCCGCTCATGCCTTTAATGCCAGCGCTTTGGGAGGCTGAGGTAGAATTACTAGAGTTCAGGAGTTGAAGACCAGCCTCGGTAATGTGAAGAAACCCCATCTCTACTTTAAAAACAAATACATTAAAAAAAAAAAAAAAGTTTGGCAGCTTCTAGCCAAATTAAACATACACTTATCCTATGACCTAATAATTTCACTCCTTGGTACTTACTCAAGAAAAACGAAAACATATATTCACACAAAGACTTATAGGCAAATGTTCACAGCACCTTTATTCATATAAGCCAAAACCCGGAAACAATCCAAATGTCTATCAAGTGGAGAATGAATAAATAAAATGAAGTATGTCCACACAACAGAATACTACTCAACAATAAGGAAAGTATAAAGAAGAAACACGGATGAACCTCAACAGCATTATGTTAAATAAAAGAAGACAGACACAAAAGACTATGTAATATAAGACTCCAATTACATATACTTCTAGAAAAGGCAAAATTCTAGTGATAGAAAGCATATCAGTCTAGTGAGGGGCCGGGGGCGGGGAGAAGAAACTGACTGCAAAGGGGCATGACGAAACTCTAGGGAGATAGAAATGTTGTATATCATGATTATGGTGGTGGCTATGTGATTATACATTTACCAAACATCACAGAATCCTACATTAAAATTAGTGAACTTTATTATATATAAATTATATCTTGATAAAGCTAACCAAATAAAGGGAAAAAATAAAGTATAATGAGACACCATTTCACAACCATCGTCTGGAAAAACTAATTTAGAGTCCAAAAAGAGTAAGAGCTGACAAGGAACTGGAGCAACAGGTAGTTTATGCATATGTTACTACTGGAAGCAAAGACTGCTAAACCATTTTGGAGTGCTAAGGATGTACACAACTTATGACTGGCAATTTTACTTTTAGTTATACAGAAAGTCCTTAACCTTGTGCTTTGGGAAACACATACAAGATTGACTCCAGCAGCTCTGTTTTTTCAAAAGCAAAGAAAATGAAAACAACATAAATGTTCATTAAGAGAAGGTGGAATAGGTAAACTGTGGTGAGTCATACAGGAATCAATGTTGACAGAGTAAAGTTGTAGCAGGAACATACAGCATGTTTCCATTTGTTTAACAGTGAAAAATATTATTTGAAGCTACATACATATGTGAAGAAATATAAAGACATGCACGGATGCTAATGAACACTGAATTCAGGATTGTGATTATTATCTCTAGTGGGCAGACAGGAAGACAGATACAGTAGGGGAAAGGGCTTAAACTGTTGTGGCTATGTGTCATTTCTTAAACTGGGTGATAAGTACATGAATATACATATTTCATATAAAATCACTTTTCTCAAAACAAAAAGGACTCAATTACCTTGCTGAAGGTGACATTGCATCCTCTTGCAAGAAACGGCAGAAATAACATTTTAGTATAATATTAATATTTTAAAAGTTGCCTCACTTAAGGCAATCATGAAAAATAATTATGTGAAAGAAATGTTTCAGTTGTGATATTTTTAAACATCTGAATATTTTATCTAATTGCTTCTTTTGAACTGCTAATTTATTCTAAATAGCAATTTGGGATACAAAATCGTGTCATTGTGACTTTTTCTCTCTACATTATAGACAAGGACTTATAAATAAACAAACAGTTCTAACTTAAGTGGCTTTGGGGCTTCTGAGATGCCAATGACACCATGGAGGAAATGAAATTATGCGTACTCTTTAAGAGCTCCTGGTATTCAATTATCACTGTCAAGATACCCTAGAGGAGATTGAGTTCTAGAAGCCAGCACAAGTTTATAGTAACGAAATATAAATTCTCCAGTCTTCATGACTCATAATCCAAAAAGCATAAACATTCACAGAGTAACAAACTGAGAAATCTACTTGGATTTCTGGGCTGTTTCTTTTACTTGATAAAAAGACACAAAATACAAACATGAAAAAACAATACTTTAATTCACTGAGGCCTACATTATGCCACTCTGAGGTTGCTTTTAACATTTAACTGGCCGGGCGCGGTGGCTCAAGCCTGTAATCCCAGCACTTTGGGAGGCTGAGGCGGGTAGATCACGAGGTCAAGAGATCGAGACCATCCTGGTCAACACGGTGAAACCCCGTCTCTACTAAAAATACAAAAAATTAGCTGGGCATGGTGGCGCGTGCCTGTAATCCCAGCTACTC